GTTGGCTTTGGAGGAATATGGGGAGGAGCAGGCTGAGGCAGGCCAGGGCCTTTCAGGATTGGGACAGCTGGAAGGCAGGGAGGAACAGGGGCAGGATGAACATGAGAGACAGAGATCAGGCGATGAGCAAGGGCCACCCCCTCCTGATCCTAGAGCACGGAGAGTGGAAAGAAGGAGGGAATGCTACTCGGGAGGAAAGTGGCCCGCCCCTCTCCACAAGGCACACCTGGGGACTGAGACTTAAGGAGACACTGTGGGAGGGACATTTGTCGGGAACAAACGCTGAATTATTGAATGTGTGTGTGTGTGTGTGTGTAGGTGTGTAGGTGTGTGGTTACTTGTTCTGGGACTTGCCAGAAACGTGGGAGCATTTGGGGAACATTTGGAGCAATAAAGGGGCGGCTTGAACTGCCAGCTGACTGTGTTGCCTCTATGCTGTGCCCTGGGTCATCACAAAAGGTGTGTGTGTGTGTGTGTGTGTGTATATAACATATTTATATGTATATCATGTATGTGTATGGGTAGATATACACAGGTAGTCCTCGAATTACAACAGTTCATTTAGTGACCGTTCGAAGTTCCAACGGCACTGAAGAAAGTGACTTTTTTTACATTTATGACACTGCAACCATCATAAATATGAGGTGAATCTGGATGTTCTGCTTTGGATACCATGAAGCCTCCTCCCAGAAGGCAACAAGGAAAACAGGTCATGAAGAGGAGCGTGTTTGTTTAATGGATTTATTATATGATCAGTCTTTTAATTTTTTAAAAATGTGATAAAAGACACGTGGAGTCACCTATGTGTGAATTGGGCAGCCATATAAATTCAATAATAATTAATAATAATAATAAGAGTAGAACAGAAAAAGCCCTAGCGTAGCCCCATGGTGAGATAGGAGACATATACATTTAATAATAATAATTATCACAACAACAATTCATTACCAGGTGATGCACAGATTGAAGAGAAACAGCTAGAAAAAATAACGAAATATCATGATTTGAAAGTGGAAGCTGAGCGATTGTGGAGGAAAGAAATCAAAGGTTATGCCAACAGTAACAGGAGCCCGTGGACCAACATCCAAAGGGCTGCCTAGATACATGGAAATCCTGAACTTATTAGACCTGAATATTCAGACTTTGCAAAAACCACCCTACTTGGAACTGCCTATATACTCAGATGTTACTTAACAGCTCATAGATCCTTGGGTAGGATTTGAACTGTGAAGTTTTGACCGGTCTCAGAATGTGAATCGAATTGAAGATTAACCGTTATAAATCCATAACAATACACTCTGTGGGATCTGAAAACCCCCAAAGGAATGCTTCATCAGACAACGTTACATTATGTTCCAACAAAATGTGTGTTAAAAAAACCCCACAACATTTGGAGGCACAGGTGTTCCATTAACTTGCTTTGATAAGACTGAACGCTTACCAAAATGGCTGAGGATCGACGGCTGTGAAGTCGAAGGTTTGACATCCCAGGATGAGGTTGGCGTTGTGGACACTGGAGAGGTTGTGTTGAGAGGACCCTGTGAGGCGAACTGGCCCAAACCTGGAGATTTCAGAGGCTCCAAAATCTGAGAACCAGTGGAGTTGGCTAACTTTGAAGAGCTGAGTTCTCTGATTCCAGAACTGAGCACTGAAGACTAGAAAAAAAAAGCAGCAAATGTGAGACGCCAAATAACATCTGCACTGCCCGTATTAAGATACTATAGAATTAGAATATGGAATGCAGAATAACAGAGTTGGAAGGGACCTTGGAGGTCTTCTAGTCCAACCCCCTCTTCAAGCAGGAGAACCTTATATCATTTCAAACAAATGGTTGCCCACTCTCTTCTTAGAAACCTCCAGTGTTGGAGCACCCCACAACTTCTGAAGGCAAGTCGTTCCACTGATTAATTGTTCTGTCAGAAAATTTCTTCTTAGTTCTAGTAATGTTTATAGGTAAGGGTTCATATTAGATCCTACCTTGTGGCGATGAGGGTGGCGAGGTCTAATTACTATTCCACCCTCATTGCGTCATCAGATAACCGCCCGGCCTCCCTCTTCAGGGTGACCCGCTCTCTCCTTCAATTGGGGGAGAGGGGGGATCCCCTGGAGGGGAGGGCCGAGGACTTTGCGCAATATCTGTATGACAAAGTCGCTCGGATCCGAGAAGGCCTGGACTCTGACTGGGTGGTCCCGGGGGAGGATACGGGAGCAGGTCTTGAGACTGTTGTATGGGAGGAGTTTGACTCTGTGGCTCCTGAGGACGTGGACAGGATCTTGGGGAGGCTGAATGCGACCATATGTTTACTGGATCCGTGCCCCTCCTGGCTGGTGCTGGCAGCTCGGGGGGGTGCACGAGCCTGGCTCCAGGGAATTGTAAACGCTTCTTTAGGGGAGGGTGCCTTCCTCACGGCCTTAAAGGAGGCGGGGTGGTGAGGCCCCTCCTTAAGAAGCCCTCCCTGGACCCAGATGTATTGGCTAATTATCGCCCGGTCTCCAACCTTCGCTTTGTGGCGAAGGTTGTTGAGAGTGTGGTTGCGCAGCAGTTCCCTCGACACCTGGAGGAAACAGTCTATCTGGACCCGCTCCAGTCGGGCTTCAGGCCGGGATACAGCACGGAAACGGCA